GTATTACTCACAGCTTTGTAGTTATATATTTCTGGCCCCAGTGGTGAGGGGAAAATCTTTTTTATGAATGCAATAAAATCTAAAAGATCAGATATCATTTCACTGCTATAAACGTTTTGAGACAAAATAAGATCGGTGTGTTTTGAGGATTAAGTTTGCTTTCAAAGCCCTTACTTCTTATTGACAGTAACTTGAATTTTTCACTAAGTAAAGTTGACTAACCTTTACACAACCAGGGCCTATGGCTATGGATGCCAGCTTGTATAGAGACAAATCTATATAGCCTGTAGGACAGGGTGTCCAGTTTATAACTCTCAGATGATTGATGTTTATGTCACTATATACGCGGGAGGAAATTGGAGCATAATAGACAACAGATCTGACCAGGGAATAAACACACTCATAATGTGAGATCACTATAATATTGAGACTCCTACTGTTACTAAAAGCTTTTTCAGTACTTTAGATATTTTCAAAGTGATTGTGGTAATTATGATATATATATATAGTGATAGGCAAATGAAAATAATTTAAACATAATATTTTAAATTTTTAATCATGATACTTATATTCCAAATTTTATGTCACCATGATAACCAAAACTATAGATTATATATTGTATTACATGTTGTTCTGTATTGGAAATTCTATTGTATTACAAGCGTTATAATACAGATTATATTGTACAACAGGATGTTTGTTTGTATAGGGTATAACGTCCTATCAACAGCTGAGGTCAATTAAGGAGGTGCCTCCGTGTGTGTTGTGTATGCATGCATGTGTACTGGAGACAGGGTATGTTGGTGTACTTGCCCTCTTGTGATAGCGCCGATTTGATGCCAGCTTTATAGTGCTACAATGTGCCTCACTGAAAAACCATGCCATAGGCACCCAAAGCACAGCTAGCATTCCATCCGGTCACATTATACTGACAACAAGCATACTGAGTATTGCTGAAGCAATACATGTCCCCTACCGGCCCCCGCAATCTATTAAGATGCAACAGTGACCTCAACCTAGATCCGAGGACCTTGAAACTTGAACTTGTCCAATATATTGAAATTTTTTACAATAATGTGAAGTTTGACTAAAATCCATGAAAGAATGAGGCACTAGAGTGCTGACAAAGATTTTCTAAAATAGTAATAGTGACCTTGTCTTGCCCCGATTACCTTGAAATTGTCCAAGATATTTAAATTCTTTACAATAATGTGAAGTTTGATTAAAAACTAGGAAAGAATGAAGGCGCAAGAGTGCTGACAAACTTCTTCGGACAGACAGCGAGGAAAACTTTAGGTATTCTTGTTTTCTTCTCCCTCCCTGCCACCCCCACCCAGTTTCACCGGTAAGGGAATAAAAATACTAAGAAATCTTATTTGTTGATTGTAAAGGTATCTTTACAAGTGTGTGAAGTTTGATAAACAGGCAAGGAAGAATGTTAAATAAAATTTTCTATTTATAGTAACTGTGACCTTGACCATTTGACCTTAAAACTCGAACCTGTCCAACTCAAACTTGTCGAAGATATTTTAATTCTTTATGAGTGTGTGCAGTTTGATTAAAATCCATGAAAGAATGAAGACACTAGAGTGCTGACAAAGATTTTCTATTTATAGTAACAGTGACCTTGACCTTGATCCGATGACCTTGAAACTCGAACTTGTCAAAGATATTTTAATTCTTTATGAGTGTGTGAAGTTTGATTAAAATCCAAGAAAGAATGAAGACGCTAGAGTGCTGACAAAGATTTTCTATTTATAGTAATAGTGACCTTGACCTTGATCCGATGACCTTGAAACTCGAACTTGTCGAAGATATTTTAATTCTTTATGACTGTGTGAAGTTTGATTAAAAACCAAGAAAGAATGAAGACGCTAGAGTGCTGACAAAGTTTTTCTATTTATAGTAATAGTGACCTTGACCTTGATCCGATGACCTTGAAACTCGAACTTGTCGAAGATATTTTAATTCTTTATGACTGTGTGAAGTTTGATTAAAAACCAAGAAAGAATGAAGACGCTAGAGTGCTGACAAAGTTTTTCTATTTATAGTAATAGTGACCTTGACCTTGATCCGATGACCTTGAAACTCGAACTTGTCGAAGATATTTTAATTCTTTATGACTGTGTGAAGTTTGTTAAAAAACCAAGAAAGAATGAAGACGCTAGAGTGCTCAGACAAAGTTTTTCTATTTATAGTCATTATAACCTTGACCTTGATCCGATGACCTTGAAACTCGTACTTGTTGAAGATATTTTAATTCTTTACATGTGTGTAAAGTTTGATTAAAATCCATGAAAGAATGAAGGCTTTAGAGTGCTGACAAACCTCTTCGGACAGACGGACAGACGGACAGACGGACAGATGCACAGACGGACGGACGTACGGACAGAAGGAGGGGAAAACTATAGTCCCCCCGGTTTCCCGGTAGGGGACTAACAAGTGAACCAGTTGTCACATTAACTACTTATGCTGACTGTTTAAAGCGAGGAATAACAACTACCATTTTTTAAGGACTATGGCAGTGTCCCGAACGGACCGAGGACAGAATTAACCCATTGCCTTCCTCACTTGGGCGAACGCTCAACATTTAAGCCAAAGTGAGGTGTTGCCAAGTAAGGTGTTAGATGTATTGTATTAAAGGTTGTATATATTGTATTACAGATTATATTGAAAATCCCCCCATGTCATCAACGATTTACAGAGTTTTTATTCTGTGTGAGTATGGAGTGAATTTAGTGTAAGGTACTTCCATCTCCCACAACATCCATTTTTCGTGAATATATCTCCAAGTCGGAGAGAAATCGATATTACCATAACCATTAGTAAAATGTCATTTCAGTAATAAGTCCTGAATAACAGCCTGTACAAACAACAATAGAAAAAGGACAAATGATCAGTCTTGTACTGTGATCGTTATGAGACTCAACACAATGTACCTTTTAGCTTCTGTATATCACTATATGACAGTCTCCTTATATCTAGTAAACAAACCTGACAGAGTTATCACAAGACCATTTCTGTTAAAGATAACTTATTGATAAGATAATTGTTATACCAAGTGTACCAGCCCTTGTGGTACCAAGCAACAAATTCAATTACTATATCAAACAGTCCATGTGGTACCAAACCACAAGTTCAATTCCTATATCAAACAGCCCTTGTGGTACCAAACAACAAATTCAATTACTATATCAAACAGTCCATGTGGTACCAAACCACAAGTTCAATTGTTGTACCAAACAGCCCTTGTGGTACCAAACAACAAATTCAATTACTATATCAAACAGCCCATGTAGTACCAAACAACAAGTTCAATTGTTATATTGTATCAAACAGCCGTTATTGTTTGACTAATTAGTACTACTAAACATGCTGTTTGGTATATATATAACAATTGAATGTGATGCTCAGTATAACGATTAAACTTGTTGTTTGGTACCACGAGGCTGATTGATATAACAATTGAACTTGTTGTTTGTTACCACAAGGGCTGTTTGGTATAACAATTAAACTTGTTGTTTGGTACCACATGGGCTGTTTGGTATAACAATTGAACTTGTTGTTTGGTACCACGAGGGCTGTTTGATATAACAATTGAACTTGTTGTTTGTACGTACCACGAGGGCTGTTTGGTATAACAATTGAAAATGTTGTTTGGTACCACGAGGGCTGTTTGGTATAACAATTGAACTTGTTGTTTGGTACCACAAGGGCTGTTTGGTATAACAATTGAACTTGTTGTTTGGTACCACATGGGCGGTTTGATATAACAATTGAACTTGTTGTTTGGTACCACGAGGGCTGTTTGGTATAACAATTGAAATTGTTGTTTGGTACTACAAGGGCTGTTTGATATAACAATTGAACTTGTTGTTTGGTACCACAAGGGCTGTTTGGTATAACAATTGAACCTGTTGTTTGGTACCACAAGGGCTGTTTGGTATAACAATTGAAATTGTTGTTTGGTACCACGTGGGCTGTGTGGTACAACAATTGAAATTGTTGTTTGGTACCACGAGGGCTGTTTGGTATAACAATTGAACTTGTTGTTTGGTACCACGAGGGCTGTTTGGTATAACAATTGAACTTGTTGTTTGGTACCACAAGGGCTGTTTGGTATAACAATTGAACTTGTTGTTTGGTACCACGAGGGCTGTTTGGTATAACAATTGAACTTGTTGTTTGGTACCACGAGGGCTGTTTGGTATAACAATTGAACTTGTTGTTTGGTACCACGAGGGCTGTTTGGTATAACAATTGAACTTGTTGTTTGGTACCACGAGGGCTGTTTGGTATAACAATTGAACTTGTTGTTTGGTACCACGAGGGCTGTTTGGTATAACAATTGAACTTGTTGTTTGGTACCACGAGGGCTGTTTGGTATAACAATTGAACTTGTTGTTTGGTACCACGAGGGCTGTTTGGTATAACGATTAAACTTGTTGTTTGTTACCACGAGGGCTGTTTGGTATAACCATTGAACTTGTTGTTTGGTACCACGAGGGCTGTTTGGTATCACGATTAAACTTGTTGTTTGTTACCACGAGGGCTGTTTGGTATAACCATTGAACTTGTTGTTTGGTACCACGAGGGCTGTTTGGTATCACGATTAAACTTGATGTTTGTTACCACGAGGGCTGTTTGGTACAACAATTGAACTTGTTGTTTGGTACCATGAGGGCGGTTTGGTACAACAATGGAACTTGTTGTTTGGTACCACAAGGGTTGTTTGGTATAACAATTGAACTTGTTGTTTGGTACCACAAGGGCTGGTGTTAGGTATAACAATATAATTTGTTGTTTTGTTCCACCAGGACTGTTTTTTTGTATAACAATTGAAATTGTTGTTTGGTACCACAAGGGCTGCTGTTTGGTATAACAATTGAATTTGTTAGTGGTACTACAAAACAGCTGGTGTTTGGTTGATCATTAGTTGCTGTTCATCATTACAAGGACTGATAAGCTATACTTATGAGATTTGTCCTTTGAATACTTACCAGAGCTGCCCAGAGGGGTTTGTTAACATCCATTGCTCGCATCATAGCGAGGCAAACCTCGGCCAGTTCATCCATGCCTCTAGTTTCCACACACTTCCTGTCCACTCCTACATCAGCATATAGACTGTAGGCCAGGTGGTAGCCATCCACCCTGTAACGATAAACAAACATATCGTTTATTCTGCCTCACATATTGTACAGCAGCTTATTCTGCTTCACATATTGTACAGCAGTTAGTTCTGCTTCACATATTGTATAGCAGTTAGTTATGCTTCACATATTGTGTAGCAATTAATTCTGCTTCACATATTGTAAAGCAGTTTATTCTGCTTCACATATTGTACAGCAGTTAGTTCTGCTTCACATATTGTATAGCAGTTAGTTATGCTTCACATATTGTATAGCAATTAATTCTGCTTCACATATTGTATAGCAGTTATTTCTGCTTCACATATTGTACAGCAGTTAGTTCTGCTTCACATATATTGTATAGCAGTTAGTATTGCTTCACATATTGTATAGCAATTAATTCTGCTTCACATATTGTTCAGCAGTTTATTCTGCTTCACATATTGTACAGCAGTTTATTCTGCCTCACATATTGTATAGCAGTTTATTCTGCTTCACATATTGTACAGCAGTTAGTTATGCTTCACATATTGTATAGCAGTTAGTTCTGCTTCACATATTGTATAGCAGTTTATTCTTTTGATGTTCATTTATAAGTTATATTTGATGAAAAGAAGTTTTAAATTTTGTTAATGAGTTTTTTACTAATTGCATGTGAAACTTTCAATCACTTGCAAAACTTTTAACGTGACTAAAATACAGTTTCAACCCCCGATAAAATGCGATGATTACATTTTGTAGGTAATAATATGTAAAATATTATCACATGATTATATCAAGGTATAACTTGGTAAATGATCGTGATAGTAAAAAATATTGTTTCAAACCTCGATTTAATACAATGATTAGGTAATAATATGTAAAATAATATCACATGGTTATATTAAGGTATTCCGTCTTTGCGTATTGCAGAGTTATCTTCTCTTGGGAGCAGGTATTGATTGTTCAGTCATTGGTTTGTGCGAGAACATTACGTCGTTATCTCAAAAATTGATAACGTTACTCTCACAAACAAGTGACGTACCAATCAATACCTACTCCCAAGAGAAGATAACTCTACAATACGCAAAGACGGAATAACTTGGTAACTGAATTATGATAGTCATGCCTTCCATATTGCAGCTTTATGTCTTTGATTGATAGTTTGACATTTTAAAGTATATCTATAACTGTAAAATATTGCCAAAGGCAAATTCAAGTCAAATAACGGAATTGTTCTCAATAACAGGAAATGTAAGATTTAATTACTTTACAATGTTATTCAGCTTTCTATGGATTTTGTACATTTTTCACCTAAAGCCAAACATGATCTGAACGATCTTAGCTGCTTTTTTTCCCTTCAATATCTTATTTTCTGTATTTTGTAACTGAAGCCAAAATAATTGAATAATCAATATTTCAGTTGATCATAAGTCTTGTACATGGAGTTTGAGCTTTATATTCTTGTCATTTTTATGTATTCATATTCTGACAAATCTTAACTCATTCACCCCTGGAATTTCATAATGAACTATTCCAACCTTTGAATTGGAGGAGTTCAAATGTGTCTTCAGGGGTGAATGAGTTAATGCTACATCATGACCATTCATCGACAACTGTCAAGCTTGTTGTTATAAAACATAAAAGCAGTTAGTGTCAATTGCTGCATATGCATTATAGATTTGTGTGGCTGTTGTTTGTCACTCAAACGAAACCGGCTATAAGATAGGAGATCTTGGACACACTAGAGCTCTAAATAGACTCTAGAGAAATGGCAAATGGGTGATAATGAGAGCTCAACATAGTCTATAGCTATAACGTGTATTAATTCCCAGGAGTGTAATATGTTCTCTTCAAAGACATCACAAATTTATCAGTCATGTACATGTCCACCTAAAACTATTGGAACATATGAACTTGTTGCCTCTTAAGGAAACGAAAAAAGGGACACTGAAATTTGGTTGCGGTAAACGAAGTCATGAAACGAGGGGCATTATATTGAGGTTTTACTGTATGCTATGTAATTCTTCCACTGTGTGAAGACTTATACCCTTCCCATAAAACTACTTTTTACACTGAAATAATAGTCCCTCAAAAAGTCAATGGGGGGAAATGAATGACAAAACAACTACTTGTCATCTTCCAGTTAAAATCTGATACTTATGATGTAAGGATTAACAATGGCTGAGGGTTAAGAGGATAGCCAATGCTTTTGTTGGATATAGTTGGTAGAGGATATTCAACATATTGTTTTGGTTTGAAATAAAATGTGATGTATTATTGTTTTGGTTTTATTTAACGCATTCACCCCTGTAGATACAATGTATTTGAACTCTTCCAATTCAAAGTTTGGAATAGTTCATAATGAAATTTAAGGAGTGAATGAGTTAAGCCTCTGTAAATAGCCAAGTTCTTTTAAGAATGTGCCTACATGTGTATAATTTATTGGTTTATGTGTGCTGGAGGCAGTACGTTGTAGTATTGGCCTCCTTGTGATGGCGTAGATCTGATGCCAACTTCAAAGTGCCACCTCACTAAAATACCATGATGTAGTAGAGACTGGATGGACAATACTTAGCTAGGTGGCTGGGGGAGACCAATGTAGTGTGGTAGTTGAGTGACAAGCATTTCCTTAGGTTGGCAGGGTGTTGATCATGAATATAAGTGTTGTTAGTGGGTTGGCAATGCTTGATTTTAAGCAATTTTGGGGGAAAGAGTTATCTTCTCTTGTAAGCAGGTATTGATTGTTATGTCATTGGTTTGTGTGAGAAAATTACATGGTTTTCCCACAAATTGATGACATTACTTTCAGNTTGGTTTGTGTGAGAAAATTACATGGTTTTCCCACAAATTGATGACGTTACTTTCAGAAACCAATGACGTTACAATCATTACCTGCTCACAAGAGAAGATAACTCTGCAATACGCAAAGACGGAATAGGGCAGTACCTATAGCTAGCTAGTGGATAGACATAGACCAGCATGAACAATTAATGGGTGTCTTCAAAATAGAACTCCTTCCACAGACAAGCTTTCTTCAGACAGTCGATAGCTTGACTGCCTTATAAAGATTCATGGTAGTCTCTGGTTATTTTATCCCTTGCTTTTATACATGTTCCCCAGACCCAATCTGTCAGGGGAAGCTGTGTGGAGGCAAATTGCATCCAAGTCCATCTATCTCTTTCATGGAGTTATTTGATACTAGCAAACATGTAAGATAACGACAGACTGTTCAGCAGATAATGATTTTAAAGATAAAAAACACATATGAAATACAAAAATCGATCACCTAATGCACCAGGGACATGAATATTGATATGTGAATTTCATAGATTTTCTGCTTTTATGTGAGTAATGTATATATCTCTCAGCTTCCATATTGCAGACTGCCACACAGATGCCCAGTGATGAGAAAAGGAAAGAAATCAATGGACCAATTTGACTCCATTTGTTTTCGAAAGACAGAGTACCCAATTCAAGATAAAATATGGGCTGTGTCCAGAACATGATGAGCTCCTACGCCCCCACCCAAAAAAGAAAAAGAAAATCATTTAATTAATATACAGACCATTTCCAATGACAAAGTATAGTGGGAAAAGATGTGTCTCCATGATTTAACAGGTCTGTCTGTCACGTTAACCTAGAGCTAGGTCGAGTCGATTAATATAACATTGTCAGCAACAGAGGATTGATTGTACAATCGCTGTTGTTGACCTGTAATAATGCAGTACAAATGTTTATGTTAAAGTCTGCCGTGTGTTCGGCAAAGTTACACACTGACTAAACCTATTCTGTGAGCTTTTGAAAGCATCAGGTTCCTTTGTTAAGCAAAATGGCGAAATGTCTTTGACTGCTGAATCGACTGACCTGGCATATTGTGGCTTAATGAGTTGTTTTCAGCGGTTTAGAGTTGAGACATCGGTCATTTGCATTCTTTGCTTGACAACGGAAACAGACATTTTCGAAAGCTTGCAAAATATGCTTCAATTACTGTTCAAAACAAACTTAGCATTTATTATTCATACCAAACATGTACAGATTAATCATTCCGAAGATCTTTATTAAAATAATTTTGAAAGTGTGAAAACAATGATGCCCCACCACAGCATAAATACTAGGGGGGTATTTTTAGCACGAATGTGCAAACTGCACATGACACACAATATATACTTCCTAATCACTAATAGTGTCAAAAGTTCAAGGCTGGGATTCAAATTACAAAGGCCATATAATTATATAATTCATATAATTCAATGGTGCAATATATATAGGGCCAATTCAACTAACAGCTAATTCTACAGTCAAACTTGGATGGTTCGAACTTTCGAGACTATCTGGACTGCAAACTAGAAACTGAGGTCATATAATATATATAATTGTAACAAATTCAGGTCTATTAGTATATATATAGGCTGCAGGTTCAAGGCAGTATATATATATATATATATATATTATATAAAGAAAAATTCTTAACAACGAGTCTTTAGTACTTTCATCTCTTCTAGGAGATTCTTCAGACTGTTTAAACAACTATGACCTCACAATGCCTGTTTTCAAAATAAACAGTCTCCTGATGAACAGGGCATCAACCCGAGAAAGGCCTAGAGACGCTATCTCTGTCTTTTGTTTTATTTTTTATATTTAATTCCAACACAAGGACTTCTCAATGTTTTTTTTATATACATATATATATTATAAAAGTAGGAAAATGATCCTTACGAACGAAGAAATATTATAAAAAGATAAATTCTCAACGAGTCTTTGGTACTTTCATCTCTTCTAGGAGATTATTCAGACCCTATAGTATATATATTGTATTCAAAAGAATACAATATATATATACTTAATAGGGCTTCAGACTACATAATTGTGCTTGATGTTACTATAGAGTGTCCATAAACGTATGTAAAGTATGCTATTCTAGTCAAATAAAATTTTAGATAAAAATCAAACTTGTCGATGGAAAAACTTCTTTCTTAGTTTACAGAAACTGTCTATATCAGTTTCAGCCATCAATCAAAATAATCTAGAAATGACCTCAGT